TCCTCATCCACCTAAAGGATTGTGGGGCCTAGAGCCGTTCGTTTAACCCCTTGAACGCGAGAGCGTGGACCGTACATGTTATCACGATTTTCTTAACGTGTACGGTCCACGTTAAGAATTTTTGACTCAAAGTTTGCATGGGACTATACAAAGTTGAAGTCAACCAGGGTTAGGTGCCATACCCTTTCCCTCCCGAGTGAATCCTCATTGTGAACAAGGACAGATCATGAGGACATAAGCATGCCAACATTCAGAAAGAGAGTGCCAACATATCGCATATGATATTTGATGGGCGTGAATCCAGCCGCCACTCATTTCTCCCTCTCACTTTCAGAATTGCCGGCTTGGCAGCGAATGGCCTTTCAAGCGCGATGGCGCGAGCTTGCACGAGTGGGCTGGAAATCCCAGCAGTCGACTGGACTGTCCTACGACATCATCTACATAATGCCGGGAAAGAAGAAGCGGGGAGGGGTGCGTGGGCGTGATTACTTCGTGGGGGAGGATGACCTGATGGAGTACTTGGATCGCGCGGACCTTGGTACGGCTAACATTACGTCAAATATGCTTCTGTCCTAATACTGCTGTATGTGCTATCGTATTAGAGGAGCTGAAACAGCGTCACATGCAGCAGCAGTCGAAGTCGCCAAAAGGAGGGGAAAGTGGATCAGGCGGAAACGTGAATACGGCAGTGGAGACACAGCAGGTCGATCGTGGTCAAGCTCCGGAGGATCCACCCACGCAACCTTGTTTCATACGCAGCTTGAACGATGGGAAAGATGCGTCACCGACTGATGGAGGTACGGTTTCGATTACTCTGTACGTACACGTTTAGAGATGACGCTAATCGTGTATCTGCTGTATGTGTCGTACAGAGCACTACATTGGACATCCAAACGCGATGTCGAATCAAGGGGGTACAACACCGACGACACCGACGTTCACAAGTGCGCCCACGGATTTTATTCATGGGGTGTCGCCGCACGACACAACCTACGAAGATGGAGGCAACGATTCGGCTGAAGGCGATTCTGACAATGATAGCTCAATTGGTAAGAAGCTGTATGTACAACATACGCAACTGGAACAAGTCTTAGTAACGTGTATCACTGTTTTTCCTTGTAGCAACGTCGCCCAAAACGCGGCGAAACGTAGGAGACTTCGCGAATTCCGACGAAGCTCCGAGTACTGGCGAGGGACGTCAACGACAGACTGCACATACGTCCATGTCGGATGAAGAGACGAAAGAAGATGATTCGAATAGTGGCACAGGTCCGTTAAAAATGTATGTACAAGATTGCAAGGTGGTTTTAACGTGTACATTCTGTATTGACTATTATTGTAGTATCACGAAGTGATATGAATGCCTCACCAACCCTCGTGAAGTACGCGATACTTGACTCGGATGGAGATGACGACGAGGGATGCGGGTGGAACGACGACGAGCTAAATGCGGACGGTGAATCTGAGCTGGACCCGGATGAGGAGCGCCTACAGCCTGATCTGCTGTTCGATGACGCGCTGCTGGAATCTGTTGGGGGTGTTGACCAACTTGCATCGGGCAATATCTCGAGCGCCCTGCTCAGAGATATGGCTAACACGGGATGGACACCATTGGTGCAAAAGACGCCGCACGATTATATGATGGAGCCGTATGAGCAGCGGTCTCCTACATCAATGCAAACCGATTACCCTCGATTGTATGATGGTGTTCACGGGCCTACGGAAGAGGCCTTGCGCGCTGCGGGCACGCCGTTGGGAGCTTTCTTATATTTTGCCCAGCCAACCCTTTGGGAGGCCATTGCAGATACAAGCAATGCTTACTTCGCTGAGAACATTGACGAGAGAGTAGAAGGTCAGCTCAAGAAACAAGTGGTTCGCTCGCTCAAACATCCGAAGTTCAAGGCCAAAGAACGTGAACAGATAAAACTGGAGTTGCAGAAGATGGAGGACATCACGGGCCGAGAGTTGTGCGTATTTATAGGGCTACTGGCAGCACGAACTATTTCTCCAAACAAGGAAAAGCTTGAACATCATTGGAAAACGACCGATGAAGGCGCAATCCCGCGAGGTTGCTTCGGACAGTTCATGGTTCGTGATAGGTTCATGCACATATCACGCAACCTACATTTCAGCTCCAACAGCGACGCACGTGCACAGCTGGACAAGGCTTGGAAACTTCGACCTGTGATTGACGCCTTGACGCAGCGATTTCAGCGGGGATACATTCCACCTCCTGCAATGGCTTTTGACGAAGCCATGCTGCCATCACGGTCCAGATTCAATCGGATGCGAGTCTTCATGAAAGATAAACCTCATAAGTGGGGAACCAAGCTATTCATGCTGTGTTGTTCAACGACGGCGTATTGCATCCGGTGAGTTACGAGTGTTCCAACAGGAGCACTCTTTTTTTTTTTGGCTCCTAAGTATGCTTAACATGTACCTGACATACTAACCCATTTGTAAACATGTATGGACAGTTTTGAGGTCTACTGTGGAAAACAAGAACATGCGGGTGTCAGTGGCGCGTTGACAGACTATATGTCTGGGCCAGCAGCAGTTATTCGCAATCTCACGGAGGTGTTTGGGCCTACAGGACCCGGCACAGGTGCCATGAGGCTGATCGTCACTGACCGCTTTTACACATCGGTTTCGCTGGCAGTGCAGATGCTAACCATGGGTTTCTACAGTGTGGGTACAGTGCAGACGGATCGTCTTGGGCTGCCAGCGTCTCTTGTTGGCGAAAAGAAGAAAGGTGAGAAGAAGAAAAAGCCTATAAAAAATCGCCCAGCACGGATCGAACGTGGTACGTTTGATGTAACTGAGCACCGGCAGATCCCTGGATTTCGGGCGCTGCGCTGGTGGGATAACAAAGCGGTGTATATGCTTGCATCCGGGGGAAGCGTTGAAATGGATCGCGTAGTGCGGCGAGACAAGCAGACCGGCGAGCAGGGTGAAGTTGCCTGCCCACGAGTGCTGAAAGATTATCAGACGCTCATGGGCGGAGTGGACGTTCACGACCAGCTTCGTTTACAAAGGTAAGTGTGCGTACAGTGTATATACATCTTACTTCGAGTTCTAAACGTGTATGCACATGCTTCATAGGTACTCGCTGCAACTTATTATCAAGTACAAGAAGTACTACAAATCCCTATTCCTAGGGCTTGTCGATCTCGCCATCATCAATGCCTATATCATCTACAATGCTCGTCGCGTTGCAGATGGACAGCGCAAGCTTAGTCAAGTGAAGTTTATCAAGCAGATGCACTTGGAGTTATGCCAGTTGCGGCCCGACGATTGGGAAGGACTGCTTTACGACGAAGATGCGGCAGCAACACCGTCAAGATCTCGGTCGAGAACGCAACAGCCTGGACACATTCCTGTCCAGAACGACGAGTGGCGCCCCGGTAACAACCAAGCTGGGAGGAAGCGTCGGACCCGGGTATGCAAGGTGTGCTCATTGCTAAAGGGAACAGATGGGGCGCGTGGCGGGGACTCCTCAATGTACTGCAGTGACTGCAAGCTGGCGACGCCGTCGAAGAAGTCGAAGGCATGGCGTGTGTTCTTGTGCGACAAGGCTCGACACAGGCACAACGGCGCCCTCATGACGTGCTTTGATATATGGCACAGAGTGTGGCGAAATGGTACGCTCCTCCCCAAAACTGCGAGAAAGCGGAACATTCGCGCGCGAACCCCAGCTCAAGTATCATTGGCTGCAAGTGACGAGGAAGGTTGTGTTTCATCGGATGACGAGTCGGCGGGTGCAGGACAGACCTCGCCAAAGCGAGCGCGTACGGTCGAGGCGGAGGAGTAATCGATTGTTGTGTCCGTAATTGTTTTGATTTCAGTATACTCAGTTTCAGCAATCACAAGACTGATCAGCATCTGTATTTGAGTAGCACGACTTTGTTCTATGAACGCCTTCTTTTAACACGGGAATGCACCTGTTTTATCAAGGTGTATACAGGTTCCACGATAACACCGCCTTACTTGCTGTTAATAGCTTGGAGATACACGATTGCAGGATGATGTGATTTCTGAGACTAGGTTAAGTGCACGCCTATCCAACATACACGATATCAAAAAAGCTTAATTTTAATATGTTAACCCTTACCCGGAGATACAAGTTTTTTAGTCGGATGGGGGCGCGGAGAATGCTTCGAGCTCAAGGGGTTAATTAAGTACGTTTAGCCTCGTCAAAGTACGTTTAGTCTTGTCGAAGTACGTTAAGTCTTGTCATTGTACTTACAGTCTTGTTGAAGTGTGTTTAGTCTTGTCATATTACTTACAGTCCTACCATAGTAAACTAAATGTCTTTCAGTCTAGAGTTGAAGTCAACCTAAACTGGGTCGGTCAAGCCTGACTGGTTTTTTTACTCATTCTTACTATCAAAATCTAGACCAAACGTATCCCTAAAGAGGCGCTCGCTTGTCATCTGCTCTTCCTGCGCTTTCAACTTGGCCTCGTAAGCTTAGCTCTTCTCAATAAATCCAGCCTTGTAAACTGCCTTGAGCTCCACCAGTGTTGAGCAGTCGTTTGCTTCACCAAAGCTATTTATTTGCGCTCGGATCGGTTCTTGTAGCACGGTATTCTGGTCGCGTACCTTATGGCACACCTCCTTCCATGTGCTTACCTTTGCACGATATCTTGCCGTGTGGTAGTCCCAATATTTGAAGACATATCCGCTCTCCAAAAATCGTGTTCTCATCTGCCGTAATCATTTCCTCCTTGTATGCACTCATTGCCTTGCATGTCTCCTGGATATGTGCCGCGCCGACCCTGCACGCAGCTCTAACGGTACCAAATGGCGCTTGTCAGGGTACAATATCAGATAGGCGGTATCGAACCACAGCTTTGACAATAAGTCTACGTTCTCTTTTTATTGCACGGTACGTCCGTCAATATAGAGTATAATAACTGCTGCTCAATACACATACCTTCGAAGAAATGAAGTCGAATAAGACCGTGTTACGACTTAGCACCTCCAGTGGGTGCTTCCATAGTTCTTTTGGCTCGGGTTTTAAGGGAAGAGGTTCTTCCTTCAGCTCACATAGCTTCTGTCGGAGCCCTGGCTTCGATTAATACATTTTTAAATTATAATAAAATAACCAACATTCACACATCGTTAATATATGGTACCTTCAAGTATCTTGAACAAATAGCTAGCGCGGCGGCTGCGCTGCTCTCCGACACGCTTGTCGCGGTGCTTATTCCACGACCTCGTCCGGATATCACTCCCAAGAGCCGTGCACTTTAATGCCCTTGCAGCTCTTCTTGTGCTTGAAGAAGCTCGTGCGAGATATTGCCTTCTCGCGCCGCTCGCACTGCTTGGTCGCGAGGCCGTAACACGCCTTCGATATGTTTGGAATTGTAATTGTAATTTAAGCCTTGAGTGGCTAAGCTTATGTTCATTAGATATTTGATTTTGGTTGGCTAAAATATTTTTGCATGAGGTAAAAGAAGTTGTAATATTTCGCCGCAAAAGGGTGAAACAAAATGCCACAATAGCACCTTTTGTCGGTCTTTCAAGATCCGCTAAAAAACGCTTCACAAGGGGCTTAATTGGCACGTTTTGCTGTGTATCCATGCTTCCTCACACCGCGATTTGTAACAAGAGCATTTGTATCGGCAGAGGGGAGGTGGACAGCGGTACTTTCATTCATGAATTCTAAGATTACTGTATATACTATTAATAAAAGCAATATCAATTTCCCCTGTCAGTGACAACTTTTCAAAAGACTCATCAATATGACTGCATATTCGACCGTTAACGCAAGCTGGAGCTGTCGTGCAGATTTCCGAAACGTCGCCATGCCTAGAACCGCGTTCTTGAAGGAAGAAGATAAGGTGTTAGTGCAGCTCGCTCGCACCTACACAGAGCACGGTAGCAAAGTAGTTTGAAGTAAAGGTCAAGAAGATGCGACGCTGGAAACGAAGTCCCGTGCAACTCGCTCAGCGAATTGAATGTTCTAAAGGGAGCATTTGACAGGAATCTGACAACAATTCCACACTCATCTTTCTTACTGCGGTTGAGGTCGTCGTGGTCGTCGTAGCTCGCTGGTGTTACCGATTTGGCAGCCGCTCCAGCATCCAAATCTTCAGAGAATGCATTGAGTAAAGCAGCAAGATCAGCTAGTACGAATATACAGCTAAAAATACTGTCACCGGTAGTTACACGAAACGCGTTGGAATCGGAGAAAGTGACACCAAATCAGCAAAATGAGGTCCATCATAGTGAAGTGAAGGGGGCGGTGGCGATAGAAGAAAATGAGCGTAGCGAAATGACAGATATTTTGGGATCCATACCTTTGGCCACGATTCAGGCTTTGGATGCAATTGAGCTGGCACAGAATTCGACGCAACAATTTGATTCTCGAGAGGCCTGTCTACTATATCCGATCAGCAACTGACACTTTTTTTTAACTATTTTCCATCGAGATAAGATCACTTATCCGGCGGCGGCACCAGCGTTGAATGCTAGGGAGCTTCTTTTAACTGCTTTAGAGTTATGTGTCCAACGATATACGCACTGACGACATCGGAAGGCACGCTGCCGCTTAGCCAGACTGCGTTTACAGGTGGGGACGTCACTGGCTTCTCGACGTCAAATTTCAACGCGTTGTGATTACGAGCTGCTTGGACACGCGCTCGATACTGTAAGCTGCTGCTGCCATTATGCAGTGATATTATTTACTTCTCTGTCCCACCAACGTATATGGAATAACAATATGAGCTTGATAAAAGTCTAAGTACCCTTATTCGAAAGCTTGGTGAGTGTGCTATTCTATTTTTTGTGCCTTCATAACCGTGAACAGCAAGTAAATAACGCCGTAAATATGGAGTCACGTTAGGAGGGCCAGGCTTGTCCGCGTTCTTCTTCTGCTTACCCACAGCGTCCCGCAGTGCGTCTTGAACGCAGTAGGTGTCCGCTTGGCGTTGTAGAACGAAGTCGGAGACGGTCCCGAAGTCCATTGTTCGCGACGCTCGCGGCGCGTAGCTAGCCGAAGCAAGTGCGCTCGAATCAGCTCCGGGGTTATTCAGCTTACGGTTAGTCATTTGGATAGGATTGTGAGGTGTACTGCTCAGGGTTGTTCGTAACGCGCATGTTGTCCTGGGTTCCGGTTGGGCTTTACGACGGCACGGTCGCTGCCGGAGATGGCTTTGAAGATGGCGATGCTGTAGATGTTCATAGGAACACAAAAACCAGGAAAGCCTTCTTAGTCAACGAGGCGACGTGGTCACTAACCGATACGGTTTTCGTAGTGCCAAAAAGACATCTCCGTCACCTTGCGTACGTGCCAGTAGCGGATCTGGTATTCGTTCCGCTGTATACGAAATTAGATCTTACGGTGACGCTCGAAAACGATGCCGTGCTGCCATTCGACGTCGCTGACTTGGAGGTGCTTGAAGTCGAAGTCGAAGTCTGAGTAGCTGTTTACGTGCTGCTGGTTAATGGGGCCTTGTTGGTGCTATTGGACAATGCAGTCACTGCTCTGGACTTGTGGTCACCACGGTCTTCCGGGGTCGCGGTGGTTGTGGTCTGAGCTATGTTGGCAGGGTATTCAGTCGATGCCAGCTGTGCAGTAAAAGATGTAGTGGTTGAGCTGGAGCTGGATTCGATGGGACAGAAGAAGAAGGTCAGCTGGGACAGCGGTGCGTCTTGGTATCGTCCGGCGGGTGCAGGTGAGCGTCGGCAGTTCACTCTCGCAGAGGAGGGTGGCGCAGGAGCTGGAGGGGGACTTGGTCGAACTTATGTCGGGTGCGATGTTCATGACCATATTGCAACAGGTCTTGTCTGTGATCTCCTCACAGGCCTCGTTATACGATAAAATGCGTTAACGGGCGGGGTGACGCTGGGGCGTGTCGACTCAAGATGTGAAACTCAACGAGAGTGGCCTCGGCACATGTTTCGTCACGTAGCATACCGTTATAGGCGCTGGTCAGATCACAACGTGGCGCTGCCGGCCGCTATGGCCTCAGGCTTGCTGTTGCCATACAGCCCGACCCCTTAGTACATGGCTTGTGCTCGGTGGGGGTTGCGGATCGAACGGAGGCTGATGATGAACGTTGGCCGTATTTGCACGGATTGGCAATCTAGTCAGATAATTTAACAAATCAGAAAATGAGAGACCAATTATAGCCTATTGAGAATCCGTATCAACAGGGGCTACTAGAGCACGTGGAGAATTAAATATGGTGGCAAGATCCACATCACCCTTTAGGTCCCTGGATATCAGCAAGCAGACCATCCATTTCTAGGCTGTAGATGACAGTTCTTGAAAATTTGTCCGCAGCCTCCTTTAACAATTAAACATTCAGAAAATGTACGATAAAAGCGTTTCGAGACCGCTTACCTACAGCCCCGAACGTTTTTTTGTGCCTCGGTGGGTGATAACACACACTGATAGGCGGCTGCGAAGCCGAAGGCTCCTGATGCTCGCCACGGCGGCATCCAAAGGCCTTCCACTAAGGTACTCCAGCTTGAAGCGGACAGCCACTAGCAGCCAACACTGACTAGTTACACCTACTTCATACTCAATCATAGAATTAGAAGAATTCTATAGCATTTTTGTCATTGGACGTACAGTACATATTAAGTTCTTCATTCTCATACCCGTAAACCATTCTAAAAGACTGGAAAGATACACAATTAGTAAACAATTCTTCATCAAGCAAAGTGGTCATCTCAAACCCATACCGTGATTCTAACAGAGGAAAGCGCTGTTTTACGCCTCTCTTGACCGTGTTTATCACCTTCTTTTTCGGCTTTGCTACTTGAGCCTTGATGATGTTGCCCTCTGCCTTAGCCCAGCACCACAGCGTTGTGCGGTGGACTCTGTACTTGGCGGCCAGCTCCTCGGTTACTTTTCCTGCAGCAGTAACATCGAGTAGAGCCTATATATATAACATATTAGTATGTAATAGGAGAACGGTAGGGATTTAAGGCTTCTGTACCTGTCGGCGCTACTCGTTAGTGCACTGCGGCTTGCGCCGTATCGAAGAACGCTAAGAAGTGGTGATTGAAATGGAAATGGTCGGGAAAGCCAAATTGGATGGCGTTATAAAATTATTAGCTCTTAGCGCAATGTTAAAATATTTACGCCTTTTAATTTTGTCCTTCAATTTTGCTTGGGGTGATGATTTTACAACGTTGCATTTTTCCGTTGATTCCAACAAAGAGTGGGTTAGGGCGCGTATTGCACAATAAAAGGACGCAAGCTTGTTCGTACGAAATTAAATGTTTTTATTGCCCCATTTAAGAGAGAAATAATGTCTGCTTATCCCAAATTTGCATCAAAAAGCCAGAATGGAGCTGCAACAAGACGTCGTGGTAAGAAACGAAAAGCTAGCATGAAGCATGCTAGGTCGTGCTTATGAAAAAAAAACATTTCCTACAATTACTTTATTGCTGCTACGTATATTTTTATTTGCTGAGGTATATACTAATTCGTCATGTTATAATAATACCGAGCATTTAGGTGGTTTGATGATCTTTTGGAATGGCCTGAATATTTTTCAGAGATATACTTATGCCACCTTCACTGTGTTCAATTTTCAATCAGTCAACCGATACGTGACTATAGCTCCGTCGATATGTCTAAGTGCGTAGTTACGGTGTAACAGCACTACACCATCGTTTCGCCAATCTACAATTGGATGTTTCTTACAGGTGGCCTTTCCATCAATTTACTATAAATATAAAATCGTACTGCAAGTATAGTTACATTGATTACTTACTTTCATGATATCCTTGCGTTCTTTGATTGCGTCGGCTAGCGCGTGTCCTCTTATTGCTTCGACGAGCTTCACGTGGACACTGATCAGGTCGAAGCAATCTGAGCGGAGTTGCATTAAGGCCAGAGGGAGAAGCTTGAAGAAACACTTGTGCAGAATAGCCGAGATGCGTCTGGTGGTTGAGATATGTGGTCCGTATCGTTTTTTTTATATAGAATCACCACAGTAGTGTGACACTCTTCTGATAGAATGCAAGAAGAGAAGCAGGATACAAAGATTTTTAGCAATTATGGTCAAATCGGGGTACCATTTGAAATGTGAAAACTGCATGTGATGGATGTGCAGCGTAAATAAGCTTACACACACTTTTCCTATGAGAATATCGGTGTTTCGCGAGATTTCACTCTCTTAGAACATTACAGAACACTTCTTGTTCTAGAAATATATAGTTTTGCACTTAGAGGGTGTATAGTCTACCGATCAGCCCGTGCAATATAATATAGAGGAAGCTGCATAATTATGCTAATCCTCAAATACCGGTATGACTGCACACTCGTTAGCATCATGCTCAACAAATTGTAAACATTTGGTGGACTTGTGTTTTTAACGCGCGTTGACCTATTTTAGACCGACCCGTCTGTGATCTCTATCGGTCCCTTGCGTTTAATAGGGCTAATGTTTCGTTTCATGTTGCCTTCAGGCGTGCAGTCGAGAGGTGGTTCATTATGATTTCCTTCCCTGAGGCATGCAGGAAAAACGCTGCTGGAGAGCAAAGGCTGGGTAGTGCTGAGGGAGATCGTTTTCTCGTAGATTTACGCGAGCAGGCCATCGTTTCGCTGCCACGTGGCCCACTTAAGAAAATTGTAAATTTTATTAACCTCTTGGTTCCCGGAAAGGTGCATTGAAAACGCTACAATATATGTCGTATAATATGACATAACTATGTCACTTGTGATTTGTATACAGTAGGCTTTCCACTTGCGGGAAGGTGTATCGAATTTGAGCAGCAATGCCGTAAATTATACACCTGTCCAATCACCAGATTGTACTCAATGTCCTAACTTCCTAAATCCTACAACAGAGACGGTGAAAGATGGTACAAAGATCTGCCTTTAAATCCTATTTAATAGTAAAAGGTGATTTAAAAAGGTACATCTATTTAAAGCAGTAAGCATTATGGTTTGGCATATGCTTACACTCATCAGCAAGTCTGCAGGCAGGATCAGTCCGGCTCGCTCTCATTCTTATTATCGACGTCTTCAGCAGTATCACGAAGGTGTAGCTCCCGGCACGCTCTCTTTCGTGCTCATCCTTCCCGACCTGGACGCCGCAAGACGACCCTCTTCCCCAAGGTACGTGTAATGGCTTGACCACTGTCGAAGCCGTCATGCCAAATATCGAAGCACGTTTTTGCAGTTCCCTTGTACTGACGACGAATCTTGTTACACAGCCAGCATTTTGCTTCGTCGACGGAACAGCGCTCGGAGAAGAAATTCGTCGCAAAAGACTTCTTTTTCTGCCCATTCGTAGAGGAGCGCAGACCTTGCAAGACCTATGACGATGCCTCTGAACTCCGCTGACGATTACCCAGTCCTCGGACTGCTGCACCGTGTGCGTAATGCTGACAGGTGCACGCCTGCGAGTCTGACCAGTGAGTGGTGGCGTTATAGCCACACTGGCGAAGTCCCCAGCTTTAAGCCGAATGAGCTGGTTCTGGAGGACGCCAAACCACTCTCCGCGCGTCATCACCGGTGTTCCCTTCATAGTTGCAGCTTCTATGTGCTAAATGTAAGAGTTCACCAATCCTAAATCAATAAAGCAGCGAATAAGCTTTCTCAGTATTTTTTAACTTGGTTGACAGTTGTAAAGAGTAATTATGAAGGCGGAGTTGATCGTGCACATCAACTCCGCCCATCCAGCGCTGGTATTGTTCACAGCGGCTGGACTCGGTACTGTGATATGTCCAACCTGCTTCACTTTCCGGTGGATTGTCGAAGGTGTCATTATAGCGCCTGTACACATAAAGTGCACAGACTTGCGGTCCTACCAGTAAACCGCGATCATGCTAGGTACCACAGCGGAACGAGAGAAGGTGAAGGACCCGCGAGGGATCCTAGCTGGCCGCGACTGTCGCTTCTCAACGATATTCTTATCCAAACCCAACCGGTTGATCATGACAGTGCCAATAACGTAGAAGCTCATACCGAGAAGCGCGATGGCAAGTAGGACGGACGAGTAGAACACGGTCGACAGCTACCGCATGCCACTAGAGTCGTGCGTACGTGCTTCAGATTTTGGATGGCCGCTTCAGCACCGGTCTTATGATCAACTGCGTTGTCAGCGCCGTCATTGACAACGCATTTTCCAGCGTAAACTTCGAATCTAAAAAGGCTACGACATACACAGTTATATTTAGAAAAACCCGTTATAAGCTACGACATAGATAAAGAAAGGTAAATGTACCTGTGACAATAAGCAGTTCTAGAGTCGCAGACTATGAACAGCTTGGACCCATAGCGGTGAGGCTTGTCCGGCATAAACATGCGGATTGTGCTCCGATTTGAAGTGGAACGCAGACCACCTTCATCAAAAGAAAATACGGCTGGGAGAGGCCACCCGGTAAGTAATCGCTGATGTATCTTGTCGCCAACAGGCCTGAGCCTCCATAGCTTGTCGCGCGTTCGCTCGGCCTCGTTGTCAACAAAGCGATGGTCACGCATGATGTTATGGCATCTATTGCGAGCCATGAAACGAATAAAGGTGCCTGCTGGAACCGCACCGTCACCGACCATAGACCAATGCGCTGCAAAGCGGCGCTTCTGCGGGCACAACATCCGTGCCACAAGAAGGTCAATAACGTGCAGAATCTTGTGTGTTTGGTAGCCAGACTTTGACTTCAAACGACGTCGTATTTGCTTCACTGTCTTGCGACGACCGCCCACTTGCTTGGCTTGAATAGCCTGAGCACGTCTGTCAACTTGCTGAAGGCCGTACCTATTGATCGCCGCGTTGATATTGGCCCCCATTGACTTGAGCATGAAGTGGAAAAATGCTTGAATAAGGGTGAGACTGAGGTCACATAGCTCGCGAACTAGATGAGCGTCTTCATAACTGAGCCCCGAGTACGCGGCCACGCCTTCTTCAAACATCGACGACACAGGCGACCACTCCATGGCACGTAGCCGCTCCTCGCGCTGCTATATAGCCCGCTTGTCAAGCGCATTTTCACCAATCTATAGCGAAGCACCCAAAGCTTCGTCCATATACACAGCGTCGTCTTCGGACAAGACGTCATCATCTGCATCTTGTTCACCGCGCTGTTTAGGCTCTGCTATTTCGTCTTTATTAAGGGCTTCTCCATCGCTCTCAGCTCTCGTTGGAGCTCATTTTCTCGTCCTCCGGGACGATGTTGATGTCCTTCTTCACATGAAGGCGTGGCCGCAAGACGCGGTCTGCAGTAGCTGGTACAAAGTCTTGCTCTGTCTCGCTCTCTACCCCAGACGCCTCCGACAGCATATGCAAGCTTGTAGCCGCATCTCGATGTGATTCATCAGCATTAAGGTCGCTCAGCTGCAAGCCTAATCTAAGTGTCATTATGTCGTAACTTACGACATAGTAAATTCGCTATGTCGTAAGCTACGACGTTGGGAACCAAGGGGTTAAGTGGGCCAAGTGGCATGTACCTTCCTTATAAAACGCCAATTTGCCTTGATCAATTTTACTCTTACGGTCTTATAGCAGATTTGACTTGCTCTTTTAATTGGATTTTTTGGATCGGATCAGACCTCTCTAATATCAAATTTTCCTCTTACACCCGCGCCACTAAAGCCGGAGCTCCCTGTGCGGTGTTACAGCGACACAATCCAGAACTTATAGTATTGGATTATGATAAATGCAAATTAATTCAGCTTGTCTGGTAAACACTAGTGGTTTGCTCTCAGCGTTAGCTGGTTACAAATGCTCTACCACTGTAAAAAAGAATTTTGCTGAAATTTTATGAATATGTACTTAAGGAAAAACCGATGATAATAGTACGACAAATTTAATGTTTTTGTTTTCGTATTTGAGCAGTTTTGTGATTGCTAAGCGTCGAGAGCAAACAGCTTAACCCAATATGCAATACGGGCGTTTGTCAGATCAGGGCAAATAGAACAAACAACAGTTCGGCATAAAAGGTCTATATTCGCTTCAGACAAATTCATAAGAAATGTCGAGTGACCAGGCTGAAAGGGCTCAGAGAACGAAGACGGGGCACCGCTTAGAAACTTCTCGAGATTCAGGCAATAAGTGAATCCGCAAGCATATAAAATATTGGAAACCTCCAGCGCGATCGCAGCTAGTGGATCGATCCAGGACCAAAAAATGAAAATGACGGTGTTCCGTAAGTCCAATTGGGTCGCGTAGCTCAACATAAACGATACATTTTGCGGAAGCGCATGCACTAGCGTTCGACGCAAACTTATATTTCGAATTTCGCTCGTTTCTAAGAGCTCCCTGGGCACAGTTCGAATGGGGTTGTATGCTAGCGAGAGTGCTTGACATACACGTGAGAGTGAAGGTGGCACAGCTGTCAATAGACTGTTTTCAATGAAGATTGAGCACCGATAAGGCCATTTCGCGTCAAGATCGTCTGGCAGAGTTCTCAGGTTTGACTCAGTAAAGTACATCTGGAGAACGGTGCATGGGAATTTTGTGCATGGAGCCCAAGTGACAGAAGCCCATCCGTCATGTTACTCCGAA